TAACATTAACTAAAAAGGTTTTGAAATTGGATTTTGAATAAATGTGCAATTGTTACAGTTTTGAATTTTACTGTTCCTTCTATCGTGCAAACTGCCCAGTCACATGACCCCCCCAGCCACACCCATCAAGCCACGCCCACAGAACCGGTAGTAAAAAATTGAATTCCACCACTGGGAGGGGGGGGCACTGAGGATCAGTTTGTAGCACCAAGGGGGCGGTGGACTGAAAAAGTTTGGGAACCAATGGTCTACAGGCTATTGTTGAAGTATAGCAGCAAAAAGCTCAGGAACCTCTGCTTTAAAGCTTGTCAAATAGGGATTTTTCCAAAGTTTTGTCTATGGATGTCCCCTCTTTTAGGTGAGTGTCAGGCAGGCACCATCATCCAAATAGAAACAGGGCAGAAGGGTGCCTCCAACCAAAGAAGCGTCTGAGAATGTATGGAGCAGAGCTGCAGTCCTGGCATCAAAAAAGCTCACTTGTCCCCCTTCGCAGTTGAGAGAGACGCGGATCCTCGTGGGCTCCTCACTCAGGACCAGTTCCGAGCGTGCTAAGGGAGAGGAGATCGTGTATTTCCCTCTCAATTTCCTAACCTGCCAGCGCCTGGTCTGCCCATCAACATTTATTACGTTTGGTGGCTTTTTGGCAACCCCTACACCCCATCCTGCTGTATCTCCTACCGTAACTTCCCAGAAATATCTCCCTGTTGAGAACCTCTGACAGCCCAGGACGTAAGGATTATATACAAATCTTATGGGGTCTGGGACAAGATATATTGCTTTAGCTGGTTTACGTCCTTTGACGCGTTTTTGATAGTCGGAGATGTCCAGGCGGTCAGGATGGGCTGTGTCTGGATCCAGAATTACATTCACTGAAAGTGGGAAGGGAAGGAAGAAGGAAGAAGAACAAGAGCTTCAGCTGCAGGCCTGGGTTATCGTGACCAAGATATCAACCTTGCAGCCTCCTCTCTGAGTTCGGTTTCTAATCACTCCCTCCAGGAATGGAAGATTCACTGCTTATTTAAACAGCACCTAAGCATTCCCTAGTTTTTTTCCAACCCCTTTATAGTGCTTCATCCCCTTCTAGCATCCCTGCACAATTCTCCTTAGCTTCCTTCTTGCAGGTGAGAAGAATTGGGAGTGAAGAGTGATTGGCTTTGCCTTCAGCTAGTTCCTGGGAGGACCAAAGTGGGAACAGAAACTGGAGTTTTAATCCAGAGACCAGGCGGACAAGATGCTGCCATGTTTCAATTCTGAACTGGCAGAGTCACAGGGATAGCACCCAGAGATAACTTGGGGCCTATGATGGAATGTGAGGAAGTTCTACCCTTTTCCCTATGACAGACCTGTCAAACTGGCGGCCCGTGGGCCGGATACATCATGTGGAGGCCACTCACACTACGGCTCCGCAAAGGCAAAAAAATGTCGCCGTACATCACATGACGGGATCAAGTTTGAAACCCATGCTCTACCAGCATCAGGATATCACAAGCATGTACAAAAAGGGGAGTGGGGAATCTTGCATCGGAAACCTCTACTTTCATCAGTTTTGATGGCCCTCAAGATGGAGACAACCCTAGTGTTCCAACTTTGCTATTTGCTTTGACCCAAAGGATCTACCGTGTTTTTCGGAGTATAAAACGCACAGGAGTATAAGATGCACCAAGNAGAAAAAGGAATGATCAGTCAGTGTCGCCGTTTCATGTAATGAAATTTACATGAAAGGCGAATCTCTGGAACAAGAATCCAAACAAGATTTTCATCAACTCCAGAGGAAAAGATGCCAGCATGAAAAACGCATTTTAGAGGCAATATGCCATTGAAACACCAAAGGTCCCTTCATAGCAATTCCCTACCTTTAATGGTTGGGCAGCTTGTTTGGGAGAAATCACAGTGTGAGTTTTATGTTCCATTGCCTTCTGACAAACGGCACATATCAGCTTCTCGTCTTCTTGACAAAACAGATCTAGTACCATTTTGTGTTTCGGACAAACAAATGTCTTTTCTGGAAGTAACCTGGGTCTGTCCTCCACACCGGGCTGCTGCAGGATTCGCCGTAGTCTTCCTTCAGGGATCGGCTCTTCGCAAACAGGACAGAAGAAAAGACCTTCCTTTTTCCGTTCCCGATAATGCTCAGTGATGCAAGGTCGACAGAAGGTGTGACCACATTCTATGGATATTGGATCTGTCAAATATTTACTACACTGGTCACAAAAATCATCTTTTCTCTCAGGCGGTTCCAGTGAGGTTGAGGCCATGACAGATGGAGAATTCCCTCTCTGAAGAGCAGCAACAAGCTGCAAAAGGGAGCAACCAATATTTAGAACCTATTCTTAAAATTGTTTTAGAGTAACTTTTACTTCCACAATTAAAGAGACGTCTTTAAGGAAAACTTACCGTATTTTTGGAGTATAAGACACACCTTAGTTTTTGGGGAAGAAAAGGGGGGGAATTCTGCCTACCAGGTATTCATTTTTTTATTCCCATAGCACCTGAAAAGCAAGCAAACAAAATAGTATAATAAAATGACACTTTTTGCCACTTTTTTCTTTCCCCAGGCAGTCGGGGTGCAGGGTGGAGATCTTAATAAGCTTAACTAGATGCCTAGGCATTCAGCCAAAAGTGATTCACACCTTGTAAAATGTAACAAAACTGAATCAACAAACCAGCCCAGTGCTTGCCTGAAGGAAACCAATAGGAAAAATCCCTGCCTTGCCTTTAAAGGGATTATCCCCAAAAGAATAGAAATCAGTAGTCACAGAAACTCTCTGCCTTGCTCTTGAGAGGATTATCTCCCAAAAATAGAAACTGGACAAGTATCTCTTAAGGTAGTCTTCAAATCTTTTGTGTTGGCTTCTCCCAGCTGGAAGGAACTGGGAAATTTTTCCAACAGTATGCTGCTGTAAAAATATTCAAAGCTTTTCTTCAGCCCTAATGAGGTGCTAACGAATGAAGAGATCTTCCAATCTTCCATGCTTTGAAACTTCACTCATTTGCACTTCATTAGGGCTGAAAAAAGCTTCCAAAAAGCTACATTCGGAGTATAAGATGCACCCAAATTTCCACCTTCTTTTAGCGGGGGGAAAGATGTGTCTTATACTCTGAAAAATACAGTACACAAAATGTGTTATAGGTGGCATTTGCCACCAGAGAGGTTAGCAAAGATGTTTGAAAATTTAACAGCTAAATGTTGGAAGTGTAATCAGATACCACGTTCATATTATCATATGTGGTGGACATGCACAAAGGCAAAAAACAAACAAACCCTGGACTAAAATACATGCTTGGTTAGAAAAAATGATAAAGCAGCATAAAGATACTTATACTCCGAAAAATACTTTACCAATAAAATATATATTCACAAAAAAAATAAAGAGATTTTGTCTTTTCTACAGATGGTGAGCCCTCTGAGTATCAAAGGTAAATCTCTCCCTTTTTAAACAGGATTTCAATAAACAAAATGACTATTTTTCTTCTTATGTGCTCAAAAAAAAACCATGCTATTGAATGTATGAGCATCTTTGCCCACTTGTTTAAATAAACATAGAAGTGCTGGAGCCCTCTAGTCAATATATTTGCTAGGTAGAATAGAATAGAAAGCAGAGTTGGAAGAGACCTCAGAGGTCTTCTAGTCCAACCCCCTGCTCAGACAGGAAACCCTATAGCATTTCAGACAAATGGGTGTCAAATCTCCTCTTAAAAACTTCCAGGGTTGGAGCATTCACAACTCCTGGAGACAAGTTGTTCCACTGATTAATTGTGTACTAGCTAGACACTTATTTTTTTAATTGTGAATATCCCAGAATTGTTGGGAATTCACTTATACATTGAATGTATGCAAGTATAAATAAATAAATGTTATGGGCTTCAGGAGAAAAGACTGAAGATGAAACATCTTTCTACAATATTCCTTTTATACATTGTTATGCAATGGATCCAAAACAAAAAGCCAATTGCTTAGAAACAAAAAAAAACCCCTACATCCTTACCTATTACCTTGATGTATAATATCATTACAGATCATCAGCCGTGGCTTTTAGAACAGTGTTTCTCAACCTTGGCAACTTTCAGATGTGTGGACTTCAACCCCCCAGAATTCTACATTCCGAATTCTGAATTCTAAATTCTGAATGCTGGTTGAGGAATTCTGAGAGTTGAACTCCACACATTTGAAAGTTACCAAAGTTGAGAAACACTTGTTTAGCAGCTCCTTATTTTCTAATGATGTAAATGGCTTGTTATTGCATCAATTGCCTTTTATTTTAATATCTGTAAATAGCAATAGCACTTAAGACTTCTATACAGCTTCAAATTGCTTTACACCCCTCTTTAATAGCAATAGCAGTAGACTTATATACCGCTTCATAGGCCTTTCAGGTCTCTCTAAGCGGTTTACAGAGANGGTATATAAGTCTACTGCTATTGCTATCCAAATGTAAATCAGGTGACTGTAGGGATGTTGCAACTGTTATAAAGTGTGAAAAATGGTCATAAGTCACTTTTTTTCAGTGCCATTCTAACTTTGAATGGTCACTAACTGAAGTGGTAAATCGAGGACCACCTGTAAATGGTCAACTATGAGTAGCTGATAGTTCCCAGTTTTAGGTAGCACATCTTTAATGAGAGAAACCAGAAAACCCCTGTTGGTGACAAGACACAAGGCCTTTCCCCAGAGAAATGAGGGTGTCTCTTCCGCTGATTCTGAAATTGATCCCTCTTTGATCTCCCTGACATCAACCCAGAATCTTTCTTGGATGCTCTGGGATCAAAATGTCATCCAGAGTAAAACCTCGATAGCCTTTTTTTACCTCTCAATTTTTTCATGGCACTTTTCAGAAGCACAGTCATATCACTGTGATCCCAGATTGTCCATTTCGGCTCTAGAATTAAATCCTCCAGATACTCATATGTTTCCTTAGCCTGGTACCTGGCAAGATAAAAGAACATTGTTTATCATCCTGCCAATGGAAGCAGCTTTCTAAAACATCATATGGTGGTTGAGGATTGGCTGTCTACAGGATTCAATCTGAATGGGTCACTGGGACAAGGAGGTTTATTCTTCCAAACGTTCGGACTCCTGCTGGAGCCCATCCTCAGGGAACTTCTCTCTCTCTCTCTCCAGAATGTGTGCTTTGGGCTGTTCTAGACATTGTGTTTACGTGGTGCCTGGTTGTGTGTCACTTTTAATTGTTAAGTGGGGTGTTGATTCCCAGCTATTAAATCATTGTTTGTCATTTTTTTTGCATTGCCCCATCCTCAGATCCTAAGTACCTGGTAAACTGGTGGTAAATCAGCACTCCTGTTGACTGGCAAAGGGCCTGTCAGGCCTGTAGTGATTTTAGGATCTTTGGCCTGCCACACTTTCTATTATTTCACTATGCTGTTTCATTAGTGTAGTAATTGGGAGGGGTGAATAGAAAGGAGTAGAATTGTGGAATGTGTTGTTGTCATTCATTTTTGGAAGCCAAGGTCATCTTTTGTCTCCGCACCTCTACACCTCACCGGAACCAGCTGGGTGGAGAGGCTGAAGAAGATTGGA